CGAAGACTTCAGAAACAGACACACACCCTCTGCCGAGGTGTTCAGCAGATGGCGCTGAATTACCAAAGCGATCAGATTTGGCTGGTGTTGGGCTACAAACCACTTTTAAGGCCAGCGTGATGAAACGTTTTTATCCTTATTGGATGCATCCAGGGCAGCAGAATGATAGTTAGCCCGGATGGGGGGGTTCACCTTAGAAACTGAAGCTGGCTTGCGAAGCCAAATCCTAGTGAAGAGGAGAGGGGTGGGGATAGGTGTTCCCACCGTGGGGTGTGGACTCTGCATACAGAGCCCTAGACAGCATTTGATTCCCCTTCTCCTGTGTGTAAAGACAGAGTAGGTTGGACCCAGCTGAGAGTTCTTGTTTCTGTTCAGGGATTGCTAGAGATGAATGAGGGGAACATCTGCTGAACAAATGGCCCTTTAACACATCGCTCCCCTCTCCCTCCGGGGCCCCCACACGCAGTTGGCCGCCTTGGCTAGTGAAGTGGGGAAGTCCACCTCCGTTGGTTGCTAGGTGTCAATGTCTTGGTGACTGGATTTGCCGTTGTCTTCTCAGATGCTCCATTGATATGGGGACTAAGGCCCAGACAGCCAGGTGCTACCCACACCTGTGGGTATGAGCCTGCCTGGAGAGAAAACAATCCCCTTTCCACCCACGGGGGAACGATGCAGCATGTCGGGGAAACTGAGGCACAAATGGGACTCATAAAAATATTACAAAACCCATTGCCGCGTCAGCACAGCTATGTTCAGATTGTTTGAAAAGATTCAACAGCTTGAAAAAGATATTAAAGCTCCACCGTCCCGCCACCTGCAGCTGAGAAATGTTTCATCTTCACCAGCTCAGAAAGGCAAAGCTAAGCAGAAAACCGCCAGAAAAACGCGGCGTCACACGAGGGTCTGCTTGCCACCTTCCCTAGCGTTAGTTTAAATTGTTATGTCAAGGGGAAAAGCACGGTCATGAGGCGGGGGAAGGCAGACGTGGGAATTAAATCAAGTCCAAAGGATGAGACAGGATCTGGAGTTGTGGCCCCCACGTGCCCGCTCATAAAAGAAACGCCACTGAAATCCTTTACCAGGGTGTAAGACGGCAGCACCTCCTCAAGCCCCTCCCCGGCGTCAGGCCCAGGGCACAACCCATACCTGACTCTGTGTCCCCTTTGTTTGGGCACAAAAGGAAGATCACTTCTGGGCATAGTTATTCCTGTCCATGTACGAGAGTGCTTGTGATAAAACTGCTCCTCCACCCGCAAAGTACAACCGAAGCCATTCTCAGCCTCCCTGCAGGGATGGCATTTCGGGGGCAGCCAGCCGAGAGCCAGGCTCCCCTCTGGACACAGTTTCTTAGCTCCTGTTTCAGGGCCCCACACTCCCACCCAGGCAGTGGAGTTACCCAAGTCGCTCCTCTCCCATGACTCTGCTACCATAGCTCTCAAGCCAGGTCCCCTGCTCCCCCGAGAGGGGTCCCTGTGGGGTTCCACTCCCCAGCCCTCCCTGCCTGTGAGCCCTGCCCAGAGATTCCCCCCCCCCTCCAGCATCTCTTGTTCCCAAGCTCGGCTTCCCCGGACAAGGCTGGGTCTTTGCCCAGAGGCCTCTGCACAAGCTCTCCTGGAGCTTGGCAGGACTCCCCTGGCTGTGGCCAGCTTCCACCAGCTCCGGCTCTTGTCACCGTTAGCTCTGTCCTGGAGCTCTGTCCCCGAACCCTTCCCAGCTCTCCACTGCTCCTGTCTCCAGCAGCTCTCCCCTGCTGCTTGCTCTCTCCATACTTCTATGGTGCTGGGCAGGTAAATGCTGAAGAGTGTAAAAAAATGGGTGGATTTCGTCACACATGGTGGACCTGTCCAAAGATTAGGACTTTACTGCCAGGTAATCCCCTGGGGGGAGGGTGCTGAATTTCCCCAAATATTCTGCACTGTATAAAAGCCACCAGAAGCCAATTAACCCGCTGCTAGAGAAGTCAAGGTGGTGGAAGAAAGGGGCTTCCTCTGTATCTAATGCCTAGTTCCTAAACATATGAGCAATCCTAGCATTCGACAAGCTGCCCCATCCGGACAGAGTTCTACAGGGAAAAGGAAAATGATTCTTACCCAACAGCCTGGTGGAATTTGCTGGCCAGACTCATCCCCCCACCAAGCCTGAGGACTTGTACCAAGGGTGGGTGAAAGCGCGACATTGCTCCCTGGCTTGCTGCCCACTGGCCTCACTTCGCAGAGGCTGAAGACAAGTTTCTGTCGTGGACCGTGCAGGTGACCAGCCTGTTCTTGGGGGGACTGGCCAGTTAGTGCTGGGAGAATGTTTCTCTAATGGTTTATTGGAACTGCGAATAAATAAAAATAATTGAAAAAAAAAGACAAGACAGCATCATCCAGAGCCTGGGGAGGACTCAGGAGCAGGACCCAGCTCAGCTGCGGGACCAGCAGAGGGGCAGAGGCCACAACAGATCAGCGGGCTGCGAGATCCCAAGGACAGTGAAATCCCAGAGGGAGGCAGGGACAATAATGCCTGGCGTATACACAGCCCCAGATGCTGCCAGCCCGGTACAGCAGGTTACCGAGGTGAGGTCAGACCCTGACGGGGGCTCACGAGGCGCTGGTCCAGGCTGGCAGGTTCTGGGTGCTCAGGTGACTCTTGCTCGGACCGATGTAGCAGACCCAGATACAATTTGGCCCCCAGTTAGGGAAATCCCCGTTACCGGTACCCAGAGCATGGATCTATCTGAAGTGGAAGGAAGGGGAGGATTTCAGGGGGCACAAACACCCACCCATGGAGAGGATGCATGAGGATGATTTGGACACGTTAAAAACGACTGGAAAAATGTTGTGGGGGGAGCTGGAGAGACACGAGCAGCCACCGTGATGCCACCACCACTGAGGGTGGCTACGGATATCGTGGGACCCCTCAGCAGAACGACCTGGGCAGGACAGACAGCCAGACCCCACTGCCTGCCCACCCCTGGCAGTGGCTGTCTCTCCTGGGGCTGGCAGCCCGAGTGGCTGGTACCCTTTTGACAGCATTCTGCAGGGTGGGCTTCCCCAGGGAGCCCTCACACACCAAGGAGCCCCTTCCCCAGGGCTTGTGGGAGAACCAGGGTACCTGTGAGAGGATTCAGAGTCGCCTCAGACAGGTGCGCCTGAGCAGGAATATCTACTATGCCTTAAATCCACACCCTGTCTTCATCCACATTAGCTTTCACAGCCTGGTCTGCACTACAAAGTGATACTGATGGAAACTGCCTTGTATCAGCCTAGTGTCTACACTTACATTGATCTCCCACCAGCGCCAGTGCCCCATTACGCCGACATGACACCCCCTCCACCAGCCGTGCTGAGCCCCGGTCGATGTGCGGAGTGTGGACGAGCCCAAATCTCCTTCCACACTAGATACGAGGAGCGAGTGTGACAAACCGGGGGGGACCCTGATAACGTGACATGAACTGCGCTGTGTGGAACGGGCTGGTTCTGAACTATTCAAACTATTGTTTGTGGTGGGAAACAGGAGCCAGTGGATGCAGTCAGGCCCTTGGGTGAGGCTGAGGATCTGAGCAGCTGCGCTCTGGGAGAACTGGAGAGGTCAGCTGGGTGCCAGGGCAGCCAGAGAGGAAGAGGCTGAAGGATGAGGAGGGAGCGGGGCAAGCGAGGGAAAGACGCGGCAAGATGCCCCCCCACCCTGGAGCACCACTTTGTGGAGCAGGGGCACAATAGCAAACCAGTGGCCTCAGGCTTGAGGCTCTCACACAGAGCCCTGCCCGGCCCTGAAAACCACGGGGTCAGAGGAGCATCTCTTGTCACTCCTGCAGGTGCCAAAAGCCAGGGACTCACAATCAGTTCACAAGAGTTGGCAACACTGTTGATAAGGAATCTTCCAACTATTGTTAGTTCCTCAAAACAAAAGCCTCCCGTTATTTACTTATGGATAACATTTTACAAGTTTACAAAATTGCTCCAGACTCATTGTAACGCCCCAACCAGCCCCCTTGCTTGCCTGTGACCCCTTCTTTGGGCTGCAACGTCAACACAACTCAAGGCCTCTTCCTCTGACCCCCAGAAGTTTCTGCCTGTGCGCCGCAGGGTCAGCTTGTGCTTTTGCAGCAGGGCTCGTTTACAGGGCGCGGGGGGACGCCAGCCAGGGCCACGGCCTGGAATCTGGTCGGGCACATGGTGCCCAGTGAGGCTGGTGCCAAACCCACCAGCCTGAGACATGTGACTACCAACGACTGTGATATCAGAGAAGGGAAGGGCTGTTCTCCAGGTCACACAGGAGAGCAGGGAAGGGAACACAGGAGTCCTGGCTCAGTCAGTCATCCCTGCTCTGTAAGATGTGTGTGGTGCATTGAAGGCAGGCTAGACCGGCCCCTCCCCGGAGAGCGCTGAGATGAGGCCAGGAGGGCTGAGTGCCCAGGGAGGGGCAGAGGGGGTGGGATGGAGGGGCCGTGACTCAGGGGCTAATGCACGCAGAGGAGGATGCCAGTGTCCTGCGCTGTAGCGAAAAGGCCAGGGCCATGCTCCCTCCTGTTCATCCCCTGTCCGCCCCCGGGGGCTGGCTCTGGGGTGCTCAGGAGGGAGGCGGGGGCACATGGAACTGTCCATTCCAGAGACCAGGAGACGCACACAGGACTGAATGCTGAAGGGAACGTTTATTCTTGCTTCGCTGTGTTGAAGAGGTGGAGACGAGAGAGCCAGCGGGACAGCCATGGTTCAGTTACTTCGGGGGGGACGGCACCCGGCTCTGAGAGCTCGGGCTAGCCTAGCACAGGTCTGAGCATCCCCACTGCAAAGCTCGACCATGTGCTCCTTGTTCCTGCCCTCGTGTGCCTTGGGGCATGTCCCAGGGGGTTCATTCCCAGCCATTTGTGTCAGTCAGGGGGAGCTGTGGGAAGGGCACTGCGGGACGGTCAGCACCCGGCCTGCGCCTTCACTGCAAAGGGGGCGGGTGGGAGCCCAAGCTGAGGCACCACTTGGGCTTCACCCCGCCGTCGCAGCCCTGCGAGCCAGCAGGGGTTCAGAGTGCAATGCAGGACATGCGGGAGGGCTCGGGGTGTGGGTGGTAGCAGGGTTTGGGCAAAGACAAGAGGGGGAGCCCAGGGTAAAACTACCCAGTCGACGCCCTCCTCCCCCAAGAAGGGGGCAGAGCAGAGCGGGAGTGACACAGAGTAACACAGCGATGATTTGCCGAAGGGACTTTGCAGCCAGGGACACGGGATCTGGTGTCCCCGGGGAGATGGAGGGACCCAATTCACTCACAGCCCAGGTGCTGGGAGCCCCCAGGTGCAGGCGAGCTGCCTCCCCTAAGGCCTGTACTTGCAGACAAATGTGTTTCTATTTTTACAGAATTCGCTGACCCAGGTCATGAAACCTAGAAAGAAAAACAGAAATGACCCGTGGGGTGGGGCAGGCTGGGCTGTTCCTGCTTGTACAGTGACCCCAATCCTGCCCATTCCGTGCCCCTCAGAGAAGATCCCAGCTGCTGTGCATGGCCTGAGGAAGAGGAAGGTGGGATGGAGCCCTGAGCACCCCAGATTGGGGCAGCCCCATCCCACAAAGAGATGCCGAGGCTCAGCGTGAAAGGGGAGACGCCTGGTCCATGTGCTACTCCTCCTACCTCCCCCACCCCACGTGCCCCCCACCCCAGCAAAGGGCAGAGGAGAGAGCGAGAGCCCTGCCCCGGGACTGGGGGCACCAACTCAGGAACCGGGCTGCTGCCTCCTCCCTGCTGAGCGAGCTGCCCCACAGCCAGGCCCCCTCCCTGCCCTGCCCGCCTGGGTCTGGCTACACCCATGGGAACATCTGTCCCAGGCCGGGCTCAGCTGCCATGCAGAGGGGATGTGTCCCTGCCCAGGAGTCAGTGTTCCCGGCTGCTGTGCGCAGAGCAGCACGTTCCCCCCTCAGACACCGTGACCCCTCTGCTCTGGGGGTGTCTGTGCCCTGCCCCGGCTGTCACGGAGTGTGGGGGAGTCCGGGCCCTGCACCCCTCTTCCTGGGATTCACTGAGACTCTCAGCCAGCCAGTAAAACAGAAGGTTTATTGGACAACAGGAACACAGTCCAAAACAGAGCTTGTGGGTACCCCCAGGACCCCTCAATCAAGTCCTTCTGCGGGGCAGGGAGCTTAGACCCCAGCCCTGGGGTTCCCTGCATTCGACCACCTAGCCCAAAACTGAAACCAAAACCCCCGTGACGAAGTGGGACTGTTCTTAATGTTTCCTCTGAATATTGTGGGGGTGCCTCAGTTTCCCCTATGCAGTTCTTAAGTATCTAGGTGGTGGGATAAGGGTGTATGATTGTGACGATGTGACGCAGCAGGGAGGGGAGAGTGTTGACCTGGGAATGTGGCAGGGGAGTTTCACTAGGGATGGTTTCAGAGGAACAGCCGTGTTAGTCTGTATTCGCAAAAAGAAAAGGAGTACTTGTGGCACCTTAGAGACTAACTTAGTCTCTAAGGTGCCACAAGTACTCCTTTTCTTTTCACTAGGGATGGGAGACCTGAGAGCCTGTCACCTGAGCCAGGAGGGGGAGGGGGAGGTAACACCTCTGCCCGGGAATGTGAACAGAGGCTGCAGGAGGGGGCCTGCTGGGGGGGGGGGTTGGTTTCAGTTTGGTGCTGGGTGGAGGAACGCAGGGAACCCCAGGGCTGGGGTCTAAGCTCCCTGCTCCCCCAGAAGGACTTGACTGAGGGGTCCTGGTTGTACCCACAAGCTCTGTTGTGGACTGTGTTCCTGTTGTCCAATAAACCTTCTGTTTTACTGGCTGGCTGAGAGTCACCGCGAATCCCAGGAAGAGGGGTGCAGGGCCTGGACTCCCCCACACTCTGTGACAATGATTGTTGCAGAGCCCTAGAGGGCAGGGGTGTGCAGGAGTCTGGACACAGAGAATGGCCGACACCCTGTTTCCTGGCCACTGATGGCCTGGGCCCTTCCCCCCCTGCAAGGTGAGAGCTAAAGGGTTGGAGAACAAAGGGATCCGGTGACCTCCTGGCCCGGGAAAGGGACAAAGCCCAGAGGAGGGGGGGCTGGAGGGAGTTTCAGTTTGGGGCTGGCTGGGACATGGAGTGAAGGGCAGATGTGGTTGTCTGGCTCACTGCCCCCCAAAATGGACCCAGCTGAGGGGTCCTGTTCTCTGCACCTACGAGCTCTGTGTTAGACCGTGTCCCTGTTGTCTAATAAACCTTCTGTTTTACTGGCTGGCTGAGAGTCCCGTCTGACTGCGGAGTTGGGGGGCAGGACCCTCTGGCTTCCCCAGGACCCCGCCTGGGCAGACTCACTGTGGGAAGCGCACGGAGGGGCAGAGGATGCTGAATGCTCCGAGGTCAGACCCAGGAAGGTGGAAGCTGTGTGAGCTGTGTGTCCTGAAGACAGGCTGCTCACAGAGAGGAGACTCCACCCAAGTCCCGACTGGCTTCGTAGGGAGCAGTTCCAGAGCATTGTCCGGGGGTCTCCGTGGCACCCCCTTCCCCCGTCTCACTCTTCCTCCTCCCGCTCCTCCTCCAGCCTTTGTCCAGATTCCCAGGCAAAGGTGTCACCTGGGTCCAACCCCCTCCTGGCTCAGGTGACAGGCTCAGGTCTCCTCACCCCAGTGGAGTCACCCCCTGCTCTCCCATCCCCCGTGCAGACAGTCCCAGCAGAACTAGACGCCATCCCCGGGTCAGTCCACCCCGCTCACTGCTGCCCCACAGTCGTATTCCTGCTGAGTCAGGCCAGAGAGCGCCTAGGGGAGGACAGAGTAGCAGCCTAGGGGAGGACAGGTTTCAGAATAGCAGCCGTGTTAGTCTATATCCGCAAAAAGAACAGGAGGACTTGTGGCACCTTAGAGACCAACCAATTTATTTGAGCATAAGCTTCCGTGGGCTACAGCTCACTTCATCGGATGCATCCAGTGGAAAATACAGTGGGGAGATTTATATACACAGAGAACATGAAACAATGGGTGTTACCATTTCCCCATGCTTATCCCCCCCACCCCCCTCTCGCTGTTCCTCAGACATTCTTGTCAACTGCTGGAAATGGCCCACCTTGATTATCACTACAAAAGTTTCTCCCCCCCCCACCCCACCCCCCTCCTGCTGGTAATAGCTCACCTTACCTGATCGCTCTCCTTACAGTGTGTATGGTAACACCCATTGTTTCATATTCTCTGGGTATATAAATCTCCCCACTGTATTTTCCACTGCATGCAGCCGATGAGGTGAGCTGTAGCTCACAAAAGCTTACGCTCAAATAAATGTGTTAGTCTCTAAGGTGCCACAAGTCCTCCTTTTTTTAGGGGAGGACAGTCCTGGGGCTGGGCTGGGTGGGCTCAGCCCCTCAGCAGCACCCCAGGCCCAGCAGGGAGCTCCGCGGGGGGAACAGGCCATTCTCAGGGCCCTGTTCCCTTGGGTGTGGGTTTCTGCTGCTGTTTGACTCTATAAGAACAGAAGAGCGGCCAGACTGGGTCAGATCAAAGGCCCATCTAACCCAGTCTCCTGTCTGCCGACAGTGGCCAGTGCCGGGTGCCCCAGGGGGAATGAATAGAGCAGGGAACGAAGTGATCCGTCCCCTGTCGCCCATTCCCAATCCCCGTCCAGTGACGGCATCCCTGGCTGCGCCCATCTGCCAGCACCAGGTCTGACGGGCAGCAGGCCTCCTGGAACTGCTACTTGTGCACAAGCTGCAGAGCAAGGCCTCTCAGGTCCTGGTCTGGGGATGTGGCCTGGGGGCACTGAGCTCTGGGATACACCCAGACACATTGTGCCCCCTTGATCGGCCAGGGCTCCCATGCCACACGCCCCATGATTCGTTCAGCTTCACCAGGCAGCTGGGCCAACCGCTCTCCCGGTTCAGATCGCTCATGGGTTCTGAACTCCGACGGCGGGCTCGGGTCATGGCCGCTCACCAGCGTCACACACCCGGTCTCTGCTCCCTGGCTGGGTGACGGAGACGTTAAGCAAGCGACTGGGACGAGCCCCTTGTGAGTTTCATGGGAGCCCTCATTCATGCTCAATTCCTGACCACGCTGAGACTTCGGGGCATTTTCCTGAGCAGCCTGAGTCTGTGTCAATGCATGAGTGACCTGCCCCCTCCCCGGGCGCGACGCAGCCCCCCAGGAGCAACACCCCCAGGAGCGACACAGCGAGCACTCGGAAGCAACACCACCACCCCCCACCATCCCCCAGGAGCACCACTTGGTGGAGTAGGGACACAATAGCTGCTCCTGGCCATTGCCCTAAACACACCAGCAGAGTCCCTCAGCAGGGGCCAGAGCCTGTGTATGTGCCACACCCACACACTGGGGACTGGGACCAGCACCCAGTCAGCATCTCAGAGGCCGTGTGGCCAGACAGCTACCTGGGCTCCCTCACTGACACACCTGGCTCTGAGCCTCTTCCTTACCTGTGCCTTCCTCCAGTGCCAGACAGCGCTCCGCCTTCAGGGAAGGGAAAGAGTAGCTTCTGTGGCTATCCCAAGCATCGAAGTCCACTTCTGAGTCATCTGTCCATGACCATCTTCGCCTCTGCAGTCACATGGGTGAGAGGAGACCACAGTGACGCACCTTCTCGATCACAGAACCAGCCGAGCGTCTGGCCAGCAGGGATCTTGAGAGGTTGTCTAGTCCAGTCCCCTGCGCAGAGGCAGGGCCATGTAACCCTAGACCATCCCTGACAGGGGTTTGTCCAGACAGTTCTTAAAACCCTCCAGTGACGGGGAATCCACAACCTCCCTTGAGAACCTGTTCCAGAGCTTCACTGCCCTGGGAGTTAGAAAGTTTCTCCTACTATCAAACCACCCCTGCTGCAGATTAAGCCCTTTGCTTCTTGTCCTACCTTCAGTGGACATGGAGAACAACTGATCACCGTCCTCCTTAGAACAGCCCTTGACATATCTGAAGGCTGTTATCAGGTGCCCCCTGCAGTCTTCTTTTCTCAAGACTGAATTTGCCCAGGTTTTTAACCTTTCCTCACAGGTCAGGATTTCTAAACCTTTGATCAGTTTTGTTGCTCTCTTCTGGACTCTCTCCAATTTGTCCACATCTTGCCCAAAATGCGGCACCCAGAACTGGACACTATACTCCAGCTGAGGTCTCACTGGTGCTGAGCAGAACGGGGCAATTAGCTCCCATGTCTGACATACGACACTCCTGTTAACACACCCCAGAATGATATTAGCCTTTTTCACAGCTACTTCACATTGTTGGTTCAGATTCCATTTGTGATCCACTGGAACCCCCAGATCCTTTTCAGAAGTACTGCTGCCTAGCTGGTTATTCCCCAGTTCATAGTTGTGCATTAGATTTTTCCTTCCTAAGTGAAATACTTCGCACTTATCTTTATTGACTTTCATCTTGTTGATTTCAGACCAATTCTCCAAATTGGCAAAGTCATTTTGAATTTTAATCCTGTCCTCCAAAGAGCTTGCAACCCCGCCCAGCTTGGTGTCATCTACAAATATTATAAGTGTAAGCAGGGCTGAATGAGCTTTCCCCTGACATCTAGTGACAAGCTGGGGAAGAGGACTTCAGGAGCTGATCTTGTTTGCATGGACACCCACTCTGCCTAGGTGCTCAGCAGGATGGGACTGCTTGCCCAAATGGTCACTTGGGGCTGGTGTTGGATCCCCAGTCTCTTTGTTATTGGGGCAGGAGTAATAAAGTGTTGTTATCCTCGTTGTGTGAATCAAGGGCAGCAGAACTGTACTTGGCAAACCCTGATTGAGGGACTCACCCACAACTATATGGCACTCGCTAGCCAGGGGACAGGGGTGCCAAAGCTCAATGAGTTCTGAGGAAGGATGGGGAGGGGAAAGATACTTGTATCACGAAGAGTGTGGGTGTCTCTCTCTCTCCTGCCTAATAGTCCTAGATGCTGTTTGGTTTTTTCCCCTCTCTCTCTGCTATGTAATAACAAAGCTGATTAAGACTCAAGTGAAAGTTGTGTTACACACCAGTGAGATTAATTCACTACTACCTAAGGCTAAGTATCGGACCTGTTTTATGCTAGTGTCTTTAATGCAAGAGAATGCCTGGTGTGCATTAGCAGGGAGGCCTCCCCCACTAACAGCTGAAATTACTGAGAGCTGGGTTAGGTGGTGCGACTTGGAGACATCCTGGTAGAGAGAAGTGGGTGGCTGGCAAAGTGAGCAAGGTGCAACATAGACACTCAAGCCCAGGGTTCCCTAACGCAGGTCAGCTGACTCCAGTCCCACTAACCCTAGGTTCACAGTGCTCAGTAGACATAACCTAGGTGCTTACAAATTGAGGGTTTAATTATTTGTTCCAGCAGCTTCCTAGGTATTGAAGTTATGCTGACTAGTCTCTAATTCCCCAGGTCCTCTGTTCCCCTTTCTAAAGACAGGTGCTATGTTTGTTTTTCTACAGGTCTCTGAGATCTCACCCATGTTCCACGAGTTCCTGGAGATAAATCTTAATGGTTCCGAGATTGCTTCAGCTAGTTCCTTAAGTACCCTAGGGTGAATTTCACCATGCCCTGCTGACCTGAATACATCTAATTTATCTAAATATTTTCTAATCTGTTCATGCTCTGTTCTGGCTCGTGTTCTTTCCCCTTATTGTTTATATTAATTGTGGTAAGCAGCTGTTCAAAATTAACCTTTTTAAAGAAGACTGAAGCAAAAGAGGCATGAAACACCTCAGCCCTCTTGGTTGTTAGCTCTCCTTCCCTGCTATGTAATGGACCTACAACTTCCTTTGTCTTGCTCTTGCTCCTAATGTATTTATAGACCCTCTTCTTACTGCCTTTTCTGTCCCTTGCAAGGTGTAACTCATTTTAACCTAAACTCTCTGATTTTGTCCCTACATGCTTGTGCTATTCTTTTGTATTCATCTTTAGCTATTTGTCCATGTTCCCACTTTTTGTAGGATTCCTTTGTGAGTGGAAACTAAGATTAGTTAGAGAAGAGCCAGGGCCAGGCATGGCAGGGCCATGGGAAGTGGTCAAGGCAGAGGCTGGCAGAGGGTCACGGGCACCAGAGACTCCGATAGAGCCGACATTTACTAACTGTGATAACTACCCTGCTAACCGCACAGCAAGGAAACAATCCGCAGAGATACAGGGGAGTCACTGCCAGGGCAGGCACCAGGCACTCACCCTGCCGTAGGTAGAGAGTCCGATCCAGACATTGTCACCGTCATCGTCGTCATGGTGCTGAGAGCGGGCAATGAAACCAGCGACTGCTTTGTGCTCCTCCTCGCTGTGAATGGAGGCGAGATGGGCCCCGCTGACATAGATCTGACACCAAGCCTGTGACAAGGACGAGGCCAGTGCCCTCCATTGCTCCCACTGCTGATGGCAGCTGGAGAGCGCCTGGCAGGAACCTGTGGCCCTGCTTCCCCCGGGCAGCACCCCGAGCAGAAGGGCTGTGAGGGGAGAGAGCGCCCAGTGCCTCTCCCCAGCCCCTAGCCATCGCCTGCTCCTGTGCACATCCCTCCTTGCACCCCACGCTGCAGAAATACCCCAGAGCCAAACCCCTCCTGACCCCAGCTGCCCAGATGCTGAGCACCACGCCCTGCCCTCAGAGGGGGCCTGCTGTAGTAATTCAGGTGGAATATATGGGATAAAGGTTTTCACATGACCCAGTCACTGTCCAACATGAATCAGTGCTACACATGGTCCGGGGATCTGTCCCCAGAGACCTCCGCCTGCTTGGCACCGTGGAAAATGCTCTGTGCGACCCATGCCCTGGGCTGGGAACGTACTGACTGAAAACCACAGAAGGAAAAGAATCCCACCGAGACACGGGTGCTGACTTCTATTTTTCCCGGTCGCGGCTCAGCCCCGGCTGTGCCACAAGGCCCCGCCCCCTCTCCACCCCCTCCCCCAAGGCCCCGCCCTCCCTCCCCCTCTCCCCAGCCTCCCTGCCTGCCCGCTGCTCGCTGCTTTCTGCTCTCCAGCCTCCCCCGAGCGCTTCCAGCCATCCGCCAAACAGCTGATCAGTGCCCCTGCCCAACGGCTGTGGTAGGGTGGCCAGGCGTCCGGTTTTCAACGGGAACGCCCGGTCGAAGAGGGACCCTGGCGTGTGCTGACCAGGTCATTAAAAGTCCGGTCAGTGGTGCACCGGGGCTAAGGCAGGCTCCCTGCATGCCCTGGCTCTGTGCGGCTCCTGGAAGCAGCCGGCATGTCCCTGCATCCCTAAGCGCAGGGGCAGCCAGGGAGGCTCCTCGTGCTGTCCCCATCCCGAGCACCGCCCCCACAGCTCCCATTGGCCCAGAACCACAGCCAATGGGAGCTGTGGGGCTGGCACTGCAGGCGAGGGCAGCGTACGGAGCCTCCCTGGCCACCCCTGCGCCTAGGAGCCAGAGGACATGTTGCTGCTTCTGGGAGCCGCCTGAGGTAAACTCCGCCCACAGCCCACACCCTGAACCCCCTCCCACACCCCAACCCCCTGCCCCAGGTTGGAACCTCCTCCCGCACCCAAACTCCCTCCCAGAGTCCACACCCTGCACCCCTCCCGCACCCCAACCCTCTGCCCCAGCCCTGAACCCCCTCCAACATCTCAAACCCCTCATCCCCGGCCCCACCAGAGCCCGCACCCCCAGCCTATGGCCCTCACACCATAGATCAGAGACACAGAGCACCCAGCCCCCCTATTACCCCCCCACCACAGAGCAGAGACATAGAGCACCCAGTCCCCCATCGCCCCCCACTGCCCCACACACACACCACAGAGCAGAGACACAGAGCACCCAGCCCCCATCACCCCCCCAGACCACAGAGCAAGGACACAGAGCACCCAGCTGCCCATCAACCCCGACTGCCCCCCCACACCACAAAGCACCCTGCACAGCCGTTATGGCCAGGCTGAAGTCACCAGGCAGAGCCCAGCGTGACTCTCAGCTGCCAGGCTGTGTCTGCGTCTGGCAAGTAGAAAGCCATCACGTCACCAGAGCTGCAAGCACATTTGGTCTGGAAACCGGCCAGAGACAATACCCGTGGGGCCCAGAAAAGCCCCTTCTAGACCCTTTCTGGAGTATAAACACCCGCAGAGCTGCTGCTTAGCTCCATTCCTGTCCGAGCTTCCCCAGCCCGGGTCAGTTTGCCTTTCTCTCTGACACTAGCCCAGTGACAGCGGTATGCTCTGCAGACTCTATCTCCCCGCCACGGGGAAGGCGGCTGCCTTTCAAACACCTCCTGGGGAACGACTCCCTGGCCACCTGCCCCGAAACCAGCCAGCAATGGGGATCGAACCGGAGACCTTAGCACAGCCCTGCCGACGGAGCTGAGGGAGCTGCTCTGGTAACACCGAGTAAGGAGCAGGCCCGTCCTGAGCCGCCTGCTAGAGGGAGACATGACCCCACCCGGGCCCAGGTCATCCTGGGTATCCCTGTTAGACACAGCGTATGCCAAGCGTGTGGTGGCCAGAGGAAAGCAGGGGCTACGTTCCCCAGCAGCCCCCTTCCCACGAGTGATGGGGAAAGCAGCCATGGCCTGGGGATCCAGGAGCTGCAGGGAAGCTGGATTCAAAGCAGAGCGCCCAGGAGTCGTGGACAGAGCCACGTGTGGGACCGGCTGTGACTGTTGGACACTGCAGCCAGGGGCAGGGATGTGTGGGGCATATGGGGAAGCAGCAGCAGCTGGGCAGGGCCCCAGGGAGAGACACTAATTAATCCTGTCCTGGAAACCAGCCTCTTTGCTGGGCTAGAGACTGGACTGGAGCGCCTCCCCCCCCGCTCCCCTCCCCCCCGGCACTGGCCTGCAGAGCCCTGACTCGCGACTGGCCTGGCCCAGGGACCAAACAAGAACCGCGGTTGCCCACTTTGAACTGTAAGTGATTAAGCCTCTGTAGCTAGGGGGTATCTGCCACCTTCCCGTTCCTGCCAGCCCCAGGACCTGCCCTGTCCTGGGCCTGTGTCGGGCCCCACCGGGGATCCCGCTACAGGCCTGGAGCTGACATGCCTTCAGTGCTAGCCTCTGAGTCGTGGCACACCGGGCACAGGACTGGAGCCCCAGGGCGTGGTGTGCTCTAGCACTGAGCAGCCCTAAGACCTAGGGCCCTAATGCTGAGCCCTCCTGCACCCCAGCTGGGTCCCCAGACCCTCACCTCAGCCCTTCTCCAGGTTGCCTCCTTGGGGAAGTATCCATAGCAGTCGTCTTGGAAGTGCAGCCAGCCCCTGGGACAGGATGGAGCTCGTGCCCCTGCTGAGAGAGGGGCCCGGGGGGGGCGGGGGAGGGCAGTGGTGCGGACAGGACACCGCGGTTAGAGGCTGTTTCAGAGGCACAGCCGTGGCTTTCCCATAAGCATGAATAACATCGGGAGCCCGTTTGGGGCTGTGTCTGGCGGGCAGGACCCTCCTGGCTCTGGGGCTGCAGGAAGAAGCTGGGTTTGCCCAGACCCCACATCGGCAGAACGGGGCCCGTGGAACCCAGCCCTGAGCAGGGATCCCAGCAGGGCAGGACCTCTGGGTTTGATTGGGGCATGGGCTCCTTTCCCCCTGGCTCACTGGGGCATGGAAGGAGCCAGTGCATTGGTGGGGTGGGGAGCGGGGATTGAGAACCCCTCCCTGCACCTGCCCGAAAGAGCTCCTGGATTCCCAGCTGAGGGGGAGATACAGACCCCAGACCCCAGGGTCCCCCACCCTGCTGCATCCCTTGGACAGAGGCAATCCCAGCGAGGAACGAGCATCTCAGTTCTCACCCAGCTCCAGGGTAGCAGGAGGCAGCGTGTCTCCCAGGGTGGGTGCTGAGCCACTGGCTGGGCTCCTGGTTTATGGACTCAGTGGGGAAGGGGCTCTGGGGGCAGGGCAGTGATGTAAATTCACTTTCCACCACGGCAACCAGCCCCCAGGGCTTGCAGCACCAGGGGCCGGGCAGGGACTCACCTGCCAGCGAGGGGCTAAAGATCAGGCAGCCGAGGAGGCAGAGGCTGAAGTAGGTGACTGGCCCCATCTTCTCGCTTCTCCTGGGGGGAAAACACACCAGGGAGATGGGCCACGAGAGCCCGAGACACCCTGGGAGTGACGCCACCCCACTATGGGGCATTTCCTGGGGGGAGGTGCTTCAGAGCTGGGCTGTTTGCTAAGAGGCCTGGCCGGGCTGGAAGGGTCCTGAGGGATCCCAGCCCCAGGGGAGACCAGGCTCACAGCCCCCCATGGGGCAGGGGAGCTGTGTGGGGCCTGTCTCCCTGGGCTGGTTCCCATGGGCCCAGCGGCCTGTGGCTCCCCCTGCCCCTCCTCTCCAGCAGGGCAGGGCAGGGCAGGGGCGTGGGAGCGGAGCCCCAGGGAGAGGATGCTCAGCACGACCCAGGGGACAGGGTGTGGGGGCCACGCTGTGGGGGAAGGGGTGGGGCAGAGACGGCCCCAGGGACTCACACAGGGCAAGTCCGGCCATGAGGCCCCGTCACAGGGCTTGGCTGCCACCCAGTGCCCAGCACCCAGGGAGAAGGGACGGGAGGGGCAGGGATTCACCTGTCCTTCTGTCTGTCTGTCTGGGCGGCTGGCCCGTAGAGCTGGGAACTGGAATTCAGCCTGTGCTGGGCGCTGGTCTCGATGGGTTTATAGCCCAGGAGGAGGAAGGGGGCAGGGAGGGGGCTGAACAGGGAAACTGAACTACCTGCCAAACCAGGTAATCCAAGCCCAGCAAAAACAGAGATTAAGGACATTTCCCCATCCATCTGCTCCGCTGGGGGGGAAAAGGGGGAGGTGCAGGGCTGGCGGGAGGGGGCAGCTGGAGAGGCGTTATCACCCTCGGCTGCTCCCCACACTCTGCTGGTGGGTCGGGCAGTCCCAGCCCTGGGGCCCAGGGGGAGCAGGCACCAGGCAAGTCTCATGCATCAAGGGGTCTGGTCTTGGCTTAGCTCCCCACTGCTCCCCGGCCGCCAGCACTGCCCTACACTGGGGGGAGCCCATGCTGCACCCGCACACAAGAGGCTGCTGCAGCCAGGTGCCTCTGGGCAGGGCCTTTGAGGGGCTGCGTAGGCCGCAGGGGGGGACAATAATTGTGGGGTGCAGGGACGGACATGGGGAGCCACGGGGGGATTGAGGGCAAAGGGAACCGAGGCTGACGATCAGGAGGATCTGTGGGGCTGAGGCACCGTCCCCCAAGGGAAGGGTGGGAGCCCTCGCCTGGACCGGTCAAACCCGGCACCGCCTGAGGCCAAATCTACACTTAAAACTTTTGCCAATAGCAACAGTGGTCAGGGTGGTTTTTATGGCACTTTAACTCCAGCCAAAGCCCCAGTGCGGACACAGTTATTCCAGCAGAGCAGGGAGCTGGTAGCCTGTATTTCCGTCCAGGAATCGGTATAAACTATATCAGGAGACGAACATTTTGCTGGTCTAAGCTGCGGCTGCAGCTACACTAGGGGGTTTGCAGGTTCGTCTGCGCCTGTACCGTCACCCCGGCAAACCTTCTCCGGTATGAACTAGGCCCTGGTCTCGACCAGGCGACACGCCACCACCGGCCGGGCGGGAGTGAGACCGAGCGGAGCCAAGGGGATCCCAGGGCAGCCCACGGCCCCTCCAGGGCGGCAGAGCAGAGCTCAGCAGAGCTTCGCACTTGTGACTCCGCAGGGCGGGTGAGGCCAGCGGCAGCCTCGCTACGTGACATTGTGCAGCTGCAAGAGGCAAATCAACGTGCCCCCTTCCGGGTCCCCTCAGAAGGAGCTAGCAGAGGCCCGGCTAATCCCCTCACTCAGCGGTTCGGGAGCCAGCAGCAGCAGGTGAGGGCTGGTGCTCCCAGGCTGGTGTGACACCCTCCCGCAGCCGCGCCCCAGCCCACAGGAGGAGACAGTCTGACGCTGGCAGGAGATTAGCTCTGCGCCCTCCGTCGCCAGGCTCGGGGGGGGCACTGTGTGTGCGGAGCCGCCTGGGACGTGACCAGCCTGCCCCGAGCGCCCTCAGGGTGCGCACAGCACTGAGCCTTGGCGACCTCTGGGAGCAGCTGGGCCGCGCTCGGTCAGCTGGGCAGGGAGTCTAGATGTAACGGGGCCGGCTGCATCCCCTGGCTACTCCCAGACCAACCCTGCCCTCGGCCTGATCCGGGAGCAACCGTCCTTCAACGCAGCTAGCTAGGCTGCTCCGCCTCCCCGCCCGCTCTGCACGCCCGCTGCACCAGTGCCAGCTGGAGGTGCTGAGCGAACAAAGGGCCAGTCCCTGCCAGGGAGCCGCCCCCTCCTCCGGTGCCTACTCACCAGGGAGCTGCTCCCCGCCTGTCTCCCTCCCACAGCGAGCAGAAACACACTTGTCATGGCTGACTTGCATTGCACATCGTGAGCTGGAGCACGGGGTCTCTGCTAACAGGTGCTCTATGCCCCTGAGATGGGGCGCCATCAGGAGGCCTGTGGACTCCCACGAGCCTGTATCTGAGGGGTCTCCAGCCAAGTGTGCCCCTGCCCATCACACGGGAGCCAGGGAGCCCAATTCGCCGGGGCCTGGGCCTGTCCAGGTGGAGGTAGTTTAGCTCGACCCTTTTGGTCGCCCATGGGTCACAAGCAGCTCAGAGCATGGCTGGTCCCTAAGGGCCACCAGGATGAAGATTCCTGTCCCAGATATCCTGCTGCCCCAAGGGCTCTTCACTCTCTTTCTGCACAAATATTTGCTCTTTCCATGCTGTTAGAAATTCTTTCCCAGTCACCCATGTCAGCTGCTTGCTGGGATTATGCCGTGTACTCCCCAGAGCCAGAGCTGGCATCCCTCCAGACCCTCTCAGGGAGGCTGTGTGAACATTTACAAATGCCTGCAAGGCCAGAGGCAGGTCCAAGGGAAAGTAATCGTAAGAAATTCCCTAATGCATCGTTAGCCTCCATAACTGGGATTGTGTGTCTGCAAATGGGGGCAGGGGCTAGAGGGGGCTGTGATGAAGTGGGGCTACCTCTGAATAACACATGCATTCCGATTGCTCTTGGGAAGTGGTATTATGAAAGACGGCTGTATCCTGAGTTCCGCCGTGTATGTGAATCGACAGGGCCGGTAGCACGTACACCTCGCACAGGCGCAGAGGGAAATGCTTAAGATTAATAATGGTGCTTAAAGCTCACAAAAGGCTAGGCTATAACAAGCAGTTGCAGCCTTAGAAAACCCCGTTCAGCTGATTGCGCTGGAGGGCAGGGCAGGTAGGAGCAGTGGAACGTTACCTGGAGGAGAACAAAAGAGGCCACGTGCTCGGGAGTGGGTAGGGGTGATGCTGGCAGGCCAGGTGCCAGCTCACGCCAAGGTCCCCATGCATCAATTGAACACTGACAAATACATGGTTGTAGTCAGCCTGGCTCACCTGCTTTAATCTTCTGACTAGCTCTCTTGTTCCCTTTTCCGATTCATAAATCGGTGGATAGTTTATTATAGGATTGGCTACAAGCCTTGTCTTCGGTGTGAGGTCTAAAGTGCAATTGACCTGGAGTAAAGGACTGGTCCTTTGGGACTGGGAGTAACATGAATATTGCTGTGAGTTTTGGTGTACGGGACCATCTGTCACAAGGCAGGCTCCCCTGGGTGGCATGACGGATCGGAGAACCCACAGGGACTGTCGGTGAGTCTGTGTTAAGGCTGTTAAAGTGCCTGAGGAGTTCACACTTGGCGAACTCTATGACAGAACTCACTGCCAGTCTGGGGTTTGTGCTGGTTTAAACCCACAAGAAAAGGGGCTGGACAGAAAGAGGACGGAAGCATGGGCAGGAGATGGCAAGGACACCGAAGCAAGATGAGGGGCTCCAGGAGGGACAGGTCACCCAGTATGTAGCAGCTTCCAGGGGAAGAGGGAGCTGTTTGCTTTCCTGAGCCCAGATCACTCCAAGGGCTCTGGACAACCTAGGGGAGTGGGGCCCCTGCCCTGAGTGGTGAGGAGCCAGAGGCAAGGATGTACACTTCACTTGTTTGGGATGCTCTGTACTCTTCTGTGCTTTACTTGATTAAGTGTAAAAGATCACAAAGGTGTCTGACCGGGCCAAGTGTGGGCATGGCTGAAAAGCCCCGTTTCTGAGACGGGGCAACAGGTGGAGAGTTGGTGACCAGGAGTGTGCCAGAGACCAAGGGAGGAGCTTGTGCTGCAGCCTGCTGAAGCTCCAGGAGCGTAACACAGCTGGGGGGGTGCTGAGCACGGGGGCCTGGCTTCCCCTCACAGCTTCCTCATGGGTGGCCAGCAAGGGGTGTCTGCTTGGATCTGTGAGAGGGCCACTCGCGGTGCCCGGCGTGCTCTGTCCCTGGATGGATGATCTGCAGGGGCCGTGCTGCGGGCCCCGTGGGATGCGTGATGGGAAGTCAGGCTGGCGAGTGCACAGAGAACGCAGCAGGGTTAGCTAAGGGCGGGGAGGCTCCCAGTTCCTAGTGCCACCCCTGACAGGACAGAGGTTGTGTGGAACCGTAGGTACCCTCACAGAGCAGGGTCTGGATGAGGGACCCTCAGCTCCGCATCACAGCCCCCTGCCACTTGTGCCAGCCACCCCGCTGTTAGCTCGCGAGCAGTAGGATGCTGGGAGCCAGGACTCCTGGGTTTCACACCCGGCTCTGGGAAGGGAGTGTGGGCGAGTTGCTAGGGCAGTGCTTCCAGGTGGGACAGCCAAGCCCATAGAATTGACATACTCTCAAGCGGCTACCCAAGTGAGTCCACACCAGGCCCTGACCTGGCCTCCCAAATTTCAAGCCATTCTGACTAGGCTTGTGGATTTTAGAGAAGATGCTAATTTCAGCACTGAAGAGATACTCGGATGCAAGTTGGACGGTGGAAGAGGCTATTGCCTTCCCTTCGTTCCTGGCCAGCCCTGGCACAGAGTGAGGGGCTCACCCGCTGTTCACCGTTTCCAGGCTGAAAGCTGACTGCCCATTCCCTGGCTTTAGGGAGGGGTGGGGGGAGGCTGGAGGGGGTGATGTGCATTCGGGGTGGATGCACCTGTGTTCTTGGTTTCGGGGGGGAGCAGCCCTTCCTGTCGCACTGTAACACGATGGCGTATTGTCTAG